TCGCGCTTTCTATAGAACACTGATTTCTTCTGTCTTCACTCTTTCTTCGTTGGCTAGGCGTCTACAATATTCAGAATAATTGAGCCGATTTATTGAAAGTTAGCTGCGCTCAGAAAGCTGTGAGATTAAAAAACAAATACTGTGTCAAACGTTCACAGAACCAGGAAGCCGTAAGTAAAGAGGGGAAAGGAAGGGAATGCGAATGCCCTACACCATGAAATGTTGCCGTAATTTAACTTTTCAGGGTATACTGAAACATTTACACGCATTCACAGCAACCACCAACTGCCAAAGGTAGTCGTTCTGCTGCAACCCCCTAAAAAAAACAAAACAAATTTTGGGTAGCCTTACGTCAAACGTTTACAGTTGGCGGAGCTAAATATAGCGTGTCTCTGTACAAATTCGCACTGTAAATATTTCACTTTTTTTGAATGTATGACGTCTTAAAAATCGTTCAAGTCTACCGTAGTCGGACGAGAAATGCACCGCCTAAAAATAGTAGCTGTGCTAAGGGGCATTGCATGGATATTGTCAATGGGTCGGTGACGTGTGACTTAAATGCGTGTACTTGTGGATATATATATATATATATATATATATATATATATATATATATATATATATATATATATATATATATATATATATATATATATATATATATATATATATATATTTGTGTGTGTGTGTTACTGTGTACATATAGTAGGTAAATTTCTCAAAACAAGATGCACCACTGCGTGCCTACACTTTTGACACCTAATAATAGAACAACGCTTATAATTCAAAACATCGTCATAAATTTGCTAGCTTGCAATGGCGTTACGCCAATAGAATATTTAGAAAGCAGCGCAATTTAAGCTGTCGATACAAAATAACAACTGATTACAATGAATTTATGCAGATTAACAGACGGGCTACATATACAATTGACGCATTTTAATATGTAATAAGCCGTCCAGAAAGCAATAATTATTATCTTAAACAAAACTGGCATAATAAAACTGAGTCGTCACCGATAAACATACTGTGACAATGTTACGTATACTCGGGTTTCTCGTGAAACAATCGAGTGCACGTAGGCTCGTACGAGGAACACTGTGCTCTTGATATCGTAGAGACTTCCGACAAAACGTGCGTATGATTGAATCGCGGTTTTGATACTTCTCTCTTTGTATAGTTCCCCAGTAGCCACTTGTGATTTAACGCAGCTCAAAGCGCTGCTTGAGTGAGAAGCTAGGCGGATCCGTGCCAATTCCGATTATTGACATGGTGTGTGTGTGTGTGTGTGTGTGTGTGTGTGTGTGTGTGTGTGTGTGTGTGTGTGTGTGTGTGTGTGTGTCGGCAGGCTGTTGAAACTGCAGTGAATGTATCGACGCAATTTCGGCGTGCCGGCATATTCACTCGTGCATCATGGCGCGTAGCAAATGCATCCACTGATAAAGGCTCGGAAACGCGTTAAACGCGCTAAAAACGGGCAATCACACGCTTTCGCAGGCTTCGGCGCGAGCGCTTCCAATGCAGACGCTCCTGAGTTCTTCAGTACCATGGGACAACAGCGCCGCCGCCACTGTAACCCGCCGGAGAATCAGCCGAGATGCGGCGCAGCCGCCTCGTTGGTTTCACTGCCCCCTTATAGTACATTGTACCCTCCCATCTTTCCTTCCTCCGCGACGAGAGCGCACCGCCGGCGACGGCAAACGAAACGCCATCTAAGCCTTTTTTGACGATTTTGTTTGTAAGACTTGAGAATGATACGCATAAAAAACTGATTCTCATTTAATTTTAAGCATTTGTAAACATGAATAGTGAGAACACGTAGAAGATTGGAAAGTGACCCACTTTATCTGGCAGCGCGAACCCGATAACAGCAGTCGGGCCGCACTGCTCGTGAAAGACACGCGGATACGATGCGTTGATATTAATTACAGGAAGCTTGCCGAATACTGTCAACGAAGTGTTACGACATCTTCAGCTACAGAAGTGCTGGAACGTTATCAGTATACCTTTACTTACTGCAGAGAACTTTTCGTGGAGTGCGATGGATATATCAGCCAGCGCTGGACAGCTTCTGTGCTCCGCGCATCTGCGTTGCAGCTATGCGTAGTACGTACCTTGTTTGCACATGAACGCTGATGCACACATATTGTTCACCGTTGTACACTCTAAAACGTTACTACGTGATTGATTGATTTGTGGGGTTTAACGTCTCAAAACCACCATATGATTATGAGAGACGCCGTAGTGGAGGGCTCCGGAAATTTAGACCACCTGGGGTTCTCTAACGTGCACCCAAATCTGAGCACACGGCCCTACAACAACGTTACTACGTGACCTTTATATCATGTGAACGTTAATTGACTTGGAATAAAACAATTTATTGCCACAAGTCTGTGTGATCAGCGTTGTCATCTCGCTCTGCCTGTATGCGGCATCACTCACTAAAGTATGCAAGATACTTATGAGCTTCTGGTAAGTAGTTTACTGCATTGTACTATATGGAAACGAGATAAATTGAGACAGGGAGCTGATTCAATGATTGGGGAACCGCCATGACGCAGAAGCAGACGACGACGGCGTCGTCTGCTATGCGAATGTCCAGCAGCCTTATCAAAACGTCCTGGTGCTTTGTAACTCATTTCGTGTTATACGCAGCTATAAACTATACAAACAATATTTTTAGTTATTATTTGTTCAAGAAAAGCTATTTAAGTACAGAAGATAATGAAAACTTTTTCAGTTGTCAGTAAAGTAGTAATTTGGGTGCACGTTAAAGAACCCCAGGTGGTCGAAATTTCCGGAGCCCTCCACTACGGCGTCTCTCATAATCATATGGTGATTTTGGGACGTTAAACCCCACATATCAATCAAGTAAAGTAGTAATTTTCAATCTTTCTACAACTGCCACCGGAACCCAGATGGTGCTATCATCCCGTTTATATTCGTCCTCATCGGCTCTATGGGCATGCCACTCCACTGATATAGTCATGTCAAGCGATACTAATTTTGGTCACTATGTTACAACTGGAAAAAAACGAGAAAACTCGCCAAAGAACACATATGACAGGACACAACACTGTGTCCTGTCATATGTGTGCTTTAGTAAGTTTTGTTCTTCTTTTCGCGCCGCAACATAATGAATGAATACTGACTCGCCCAGTATACTGTACTCCTCAGCTTTGGTGTATATCAAGCTACCGAAATGACTGCCATCCCACCATAAAATTGACATGTGAGTCACGCCCTACATGATATCCATGAAGCTATCTTCATGCTACCACCTCTCATTTGTGTTCTCCCTACAGACACGTCACGCAACATCACTTTTGTTGTTAATAAAAATAGTTAAACGGCCGCTCGCGCACCATGAGCGTGACTTGTAAGTCATGCCCTTGACGACATGCACGATATTCACGTTACCCCCGGTTATTTATGTTCGTCTAATAAATGTGTGTCGCCATACTTGTGTTGGTATATATCAATTCAATTATTCACCCTAAAGCACCCCGATGCCATGATATGTGAGTTATGCCTCACATCATATGCATGCCGTTTATAGCATAACGCAAGGCTCATTAGGGCCAGTAACTTACGTGCGTCATACACCCTCGTCACCCCTCGTCAACCCTGTTATATGTCAAGTTAACAAAACAGCCGCACGATCACCAAGAGCGTGGAATGAAAATCACGACGTTCATAGCAATAATAATATGCGGGGTTTTACGTCACGAAATCACGATATGATTGTTTATGAGAGACGCCTCCGGAAATGGAGCATCTGCTTTTAACGTGCAACCACGTTTTTCACGACACGAATATCATGGTTTTCATGTTATGATGCGTCGTTTATGCTCGTCAGAGAGTCATGTCATGCCGTGCCGATTTCGCTATACATCTCACTAATGAAATCACGAGAGCACGAAGTCGTAAGCTAATAATAATAATAATAATAATAATAATAATAATAATAATAATAATATAATAATAATAATAATAATAATAATAATAATAATAATATAATAATAATAATAATAATAACAATAATAAGTAGTAGTAGTAGTAGTAGTAGTAGTAGTAGTAGTAGTAGTAGTAGTAGTAGTAGTATAGCAGCATTAATCGTGAAAACCTTTATTGACTACAAGTTTTCTGGGAAAGTGGACCAGGTGCTCAATCCAGCACTTTACTGGCCTTTGCGTTCTGCTGGGCTTCGTCAAGCAAAGCCAGACGGCTCTCTCGATCCCATGCTAGAAACCCAGAAATCGGTGTTTTGAAGTCATTGTTCTCACTCGCACGTAAGTGAGCGAGAGTTGGCTGTTCTCCCCACCAAGATAATATCAACTGTAATAATTGAAGTTTTTTGACGCCTTCGCAATCAAAATCGGACGTTAGCGTCGGTCGAGAATTCCACCTCCAATATCTCTGGCTGAAAACTGCGAACGCCTTTGGCGCATTGCCGCAACCATAGACTATTCAGTCGATTATTTCAGAGCGTGCATGTTAATGATGATAATGTTCTTGCATTCGTGGCACTCGCCCACACAGGAGCATCGGCCAAGAACCAGGGTGGCAGGATCTTTGGGTTTGTTGGTTATGTATTTCAAAGCATCCAATGGAGTTTCTGTAAAACGCAAAACCAATCGTAAATGTTGTATGAAAATGCTACACGAGCTATCGGTCAGGCAATCAGATAGTCTCAGAGCAAAAACTAATAGTATCAATAGAGTAAAAAGGTAATCTTTTTGTTTTCATTATATACGCACATACAGCAGGCAAACCTCCCGGTGGCTATAACATTTTGTAATCGCTCCAAAGGATAAAATTACTGTCACTTTTATTTGCGTAGGCGTGGCATAATAGCAGTGCGTGTTACCACGAAAGAAAACCTCGCTCACCCGTTTCCTGTGGTACAGAAGAAGATGAACAGGCAACCAATTGTCCCTGCAGAGCATGGCCGCAGAGAGAGAAGCACTTGGAGAAGTTAGAGCCCAAGAAGAACCGAGATGGCTGGCGTTACCGAGATGGCTGGCGTTAACGAGCCTCCGTTCGGCGACGGTCGCGTACAGCTCGTGAGCCTTCTCAACGCAGCGATCTCGTTGGCGGTGTACATACTGCACTACGAAAGCTGCGGGATCACCGCCTGCGTCATGGACCACTGGTGCAGCGGCCCAGAGGAACTTGGGAACCTCAGCGTCAAGCAGTGGAAAGAGTCGGCCATTCCAATGAACAGCATCTACAGCACCGTACGCGAACCGCCTTTTGGTGTAGCGAACAATCACGTCGTTCCCTGCGCCTCGTGGGAGTTCGACCTGGACAAGTACGGGAACAGCAGCGAGTGGGCGCTGGTATGCGACCGAGCGCGGCTTATCGGGCTAGCCAGGCTCGTCTACGCCGCCTCCTGCATCGTATCTACGCCCCTGGTGTACAGGCTCGTGGATCACACCGGTCGCAAGCTGGTCGTTTTCGGCACCATTCCGGTGGTGCTCATCACGGGCGTCGCCAGAAGCCTCCCGAACAATTTCCAGTTTTTCATCATCGTTCGCGCTGTCGTCTCAGCGGCAACGAGCTGCATTGTGCCGCCGGTGCTCGCGATCCTCTGGGAAGTGAGTACACCGCGGAAGGCGCCCTTGTACTGCGTCATCTCCATTCTGGTCACGTTGGTCGTCCCCGACAGCGTGGTGGCCGCCGCAGAAGCGCTGAAGACCGGCTGGACCACGCTTGAGCTATTCCTCATGGTGCCGACGTTCCTGCTTGTAACGCTGTACTTTACCTTAGCGGACTCTCAGCTGACTCGTTGCCACAGGCCACGCAGCAGAAACTGTACGGGTATCGGTGCACCTGGCCAGGTCCAACGAAGTGACCATGGCCCTCCGCCGTCAACTGTTTGCCTTGCAGGACAAGACGCAGGCGAGTAATGGGGCGGAGATGGTAGAACAGACCAACGCCTGCGGCTTGCACCTCAGAGTCCGTACTGTTCTCTTTTTTACACGTGGACGGTGTGGGCCTACGGCGCGACAGCTACGTCACCAACGACGAAATGCCCGCAAGCGGCCCGGTAAAGCTTATCGCCATAAGCCGCCGTCACTTCCCTCAGCGTGTGTCTCTTGTCCACACGCTGGGTGGTTGAGTACGGCCCCAAACGCACCGTCGTCGCCAACGGGCTTCTCTTCAGCGCCTCGCTTGACGCCACTACTGCCACTTCAGTGAACGATGAGATGGTTCGCAACGTCCTAACTGTCCTCACAAAAGTGAGCGGCCACAGCCTTCTCTTGAATTTCAGCATGCTGACCCTCCAGATGTACACCGTCACTGCACGTTGCGTCCCCATGGCCATCGCTATCGTCTGCAGCCGAGTGGGCGACACCTTAGCGCAGATAAGCACCGCTTTCTTAGGGCCTACTTGGCACACGGGCAACAATCTCGCCATCGCCGCTGTGACCATGGCACTATTCGTGATAGCCGGCGAGTACCTTCCCGACGAGCACAAGATGAGTCCTTCGGTCGCGTCTTCAAGCCGCAGGCGCAACTCGGCAGGTGAAGAACTAAGGCGAGCTTTTCGAGATGCTCTCAAGCCACTTCAAGTGAAATGCCTGAAGCAGAGTGAAAAGAGGCCACGTGAGAATTGATGGAATATTCGGCATCAATAAAATTTGGCTTACCCATCGTCCCCTGCAGACGATATTTTTCTTGTCTTGTCTTGTCGCCTTGAAGAACTTGGCTCATACCCACAAAGCGGATTGGCCACACTGTACCTTATAATAGATAGTTTTTGTACAAGGCTTGCTAAAAAAGAGAGAAATTAGATAAAAACAATAATAATGTTCCATTGCAACAACGTGCAAAAGTGCAGAAGAATTCGATAAACCAGAATATATAAAACAAATTAGTAAGAATGAAGAAGGGGGACAAAGAATTGGATATATCTGGTAGTACCACTAGCAGCGTATCGTTCCGGTTGCCTGAATGAATTTATGTAGCGCTGACAGAATAGCACATCGGCCCACACCCAACTGACTGGCTCCAAAACAATAATAAGGTGAATGTATTAACAGACAATCTGTAGCCAGCCGGTCTGAGAACTGGCTAACCTCCCTGTCCTTCCTCTTACATTCCTCCTCCGAGCATACCAATCGGTCTCTCAAGAATGATTCGGCGCAGTGAGGCGAAGCGGCGGCATGTGAGAAGAAAGACGATATTTCAAGCTTTCAATTCAGCTGAATTTTCACTTTTCTTTTTCTTCTCTCGCGTTTCCAATCGGGTTAATGGTAACACTGTCTAGCCATATATCTGCGTACCTAGAATTTTTTCTCTGCCTTCTTATACAATTGAGATTCTTAACCACAACAGTGCCTCAGTTGGGTTCTCTTGCTCTGTTCTTCATCAGATAATTCACCTATTCGCTTTTTTGCGCATCCAAATCTGTCATACTATTAAAAAGTACTTATGCACTGTTACGCCTGAGAGTCCAGACCAAACGCCATTGCCTCTGCAAAGGCAATCTGTGTCAAGGCCAGCGAGTGAGCCCACCTAGCGCCATCAACTCAACGACGTCATCAAAGCGGTGGCGCTGGTCTGTCTTTCGCAACGCACGGCGTGCTCTCTCAGCCCACGGGCCTGATAACAGCCCGATGAAGCAATCGGCGTCATCCAGTCTGGCGAGTCTTACGTAATGCGTGGCAACATCTCTCGTCCTTGGGTGCAGCTCAGCGCAGCGGCTCCAGATTAGAGGATCATGGCGCTACCCAGTGGCGGGTCCCGATTTGAGGAAGCTGACGCCAGCAGCGGCGGTTCCGATTGGACGTTGGTGACGCAAGGCATAACCCGGGGCCTATAAAAAAAGCCAAGCGGCGCATCGACAAGCAGCCGACGTATGCGTCAGAGCGATAACATCTCGGCTCTTCGAGTCCCTAAGCTGTCGGCCCTAGTGCCGATTATGTAACGCCTCTACTTCTATGCTGTATATAAATCTTGCCTTAACTCACCGTCGTCTTGTCCGCTCGTCTATCAGCTCTGCGCAGAAGCAGTGGCGAGCTGAGAAACACACGCTACCAAACGGCTGGTGACCTTGGTGGCCCGTGACCTCGGTGCACTACGCAACAATGTGTGATGTCAACGCCAACGCGGACTTAATCCCGGGCCTTTAAAGATGTTTACGTTAATTTCTTAAACCCACGCGTTGGAAAACAAGGAAAAGAAAACTGTCGGGGTAACGAATGCGCATTTCGGAGTGTAGTTTCTGGAAGGATTCTGTTGACGGTTCTCGCGGGCCCACCGCGCAAACACCAGGACCGGGTGGTGCCTTGTTGTCTACGGACAGTATATGGTGGCGATGGTCCGTGTGGATCCTTCAGATTTATGGCATGGGGGGGGGGGCAGCATAGCACCTCTAGTAGGTTCTGTACATGCGACCCGGCTGCAGCGCCTGTGCCGGGCCCGGCCTGACATTCCGTCAGCCTCCGTGGCTCCAGGGCTCATTACTGCGTTCTGCCCGGATGACCACCTGCGGCGTTGAAGGACGAAGAAGCGATGACTGTGGAGAATTTTTCGGGAGACACCGGGTTACATGGAGGGGTCGAAACTCGATCTGAACATCGGGTCGTCGGGCACCGGAAACCGGGGCAATTGGAGCGGCTGAAAACATTTCGGCACAGCACTCCAAACTCCGGGCGTCGGCCATTACAGACGGCGCGCTTTGTCGGAACAGGAGGGCGCTGCGAGCGCGCAACCGATTAGGACCTGCAGCGTTTCGGCTCCATCGTTTTTCGATCGGAACCCCTGACCACCTCTTCGGACCCTCAAGAAAACCTCTCCACCGTCACCGGAATGTGATCCGGTTCATCTGGACACCCCATTTCGGCAAGTGGACCCACCTCACAACTTTCACGGGCGACTTACATCTGGACGCCGGAGGCGGCCCCGCTCGGCCTACTGGCTATGGCGCCCCCCCGGCAAAATGGGCGATCGGTCCCCCACCACGACCGTCACCGTGGCGGACACCTACACCGGATACGACCCCCACAGCATGATGTGGACTACCATCTCTACCTCGGACAGCAGGCCGGAGCTGCCCCAAACATTTAAGAGCACCGCGCTTGCTGCCGCGGTGGCAAGACGCGAGCGAGCGACGCGGCAGTGGCGGCCTCCCCGACCACGGCTGTCGACGAGGCAGACCGCTCCTCCTCCACACTTCCGCCGCCTGCGCCGCGCTCCGCGGGCCCGCAACAGGGGAGGAAGCGGCCCTCGTGGCAGCCTCGGCCTCTGCCGAAGCCGAAGGAAACTGATTTTGTTGTTGTTCTGAAAGCACGGACACAACTATCCCTCACCGCTGTTTTCCCCGAGAACGGAGCCGGCAGCGCGCTCATCGCCCACCTCGGAGCGAACGCGAACCGGCTGGTCACAGTCGTGATGGTGCAGGACGAAAACCTCATCCTGGCCTACACACCACATCCGCTTATTGCGGACAAACTAATTGGTGAACTGACAGTTCCTTCATCCGTCGGACCGGTGCCCCTGTTTGGGTATCTCCGCGCGGGCACCCAGGACTCCTGCTACGGAGTGGTGACAGTGCGCTGCTCTGACTCTGAAGCCGAACTTCGCCAACGCTTCTACTGGCCGGAAGGCGAAATACTGCACATCCGGCGTTTGGGCACCTCCAACAAGGCGCGGCTCACTTTTGCAGGAAAGGTGAAGCCCAGGTACGTCACCTATGACGCCCTGCTGATCCCGGTGCAGCCATACAGAAAAACTGTACCAGCCTGCAACCAGTGCGGCTCAGTTGGGCATCGACCCGACGCTTGCCCTGACCCTAAACCGGACCTCTGTGGTACCTGTGGCAACACAGTGCCACTCATAGATGATGCTCGCGCACCTCACGAATGCACGCCGAAGTGTGCTCTATGCGCCGGACCCCACGTCACCGGGGACCGGTGCTGTAAGGAACGTTACAGGGCACCACCACCAAAACCATCCACTCTTCTACCGAAGAACCAAACCGGCTCCAAGAAACGCAAACGCCCGCGAACACGGAAGCCAAGCAGGCCGACCACCGGGACTTCACCGCAGGGGGCCCAGCCTCCTGCCACCAAACCTTCTCCTCCACCCCATCATCCTGGCGCGGGGGCCCCGTGCCCTCCAAGCGAGGCCCCACCCCGGCCGGACCTCCCGCCGCGAGGTCCACCTCGAGCCAGGGCCCACCTTCCTCCCCTACACCGCACCCGCCGTCACCCGGAATCCAGCCTGCTGCCCAAGGGGATGCCACATGGGCCGCTCGCGTCCGACAAGGACCCGAGGTGAGCGGCTCGGGCGGGGCAGCCTCCCCATCCGGAACCCCCTCGAACCCACCCAAACCTCAAACTTCTTCCGCCCCCACACGGGAACAACTCGAAATTAAACAGCTCCGGGCCCAAGTGGCCTCGTTGACCCGTGCAATGGAGGCACTCGCAAACCGCCCGCCTCCATCTAACTCGACACCTTCCGGGCAGGCGCCGGAAGCGATGGATAGTGTCCCCTCGGAACAAAGAGACACCACGGCACTTCTCGCTCCGATTGAGGCGCGTCTAAATAGCCTGGAGGGCCAGGTGGCCTCCATAGTAACTACTATCGAGGATCGCTTGGCTGCCGCCCTCCAAACCGTATTCGCCAGAATCCCGGGCATGATAGTGGCCCAGCTGCCCCAACTCGCTTCCAGCACCCGTCGTCCCACCCCAAAACTTAAGCGGGTTAATAAACCTCAGACGCCCCGGCCACTTCCCCAAAGGGCTGAGGCTGACAGGCAGCCTACCATATTGACTGCAACATCAGCAGCAAGCCCCGGACCGAGCGGTGGAGCACCTCTGGATCTCTCTGCTCTCCTGGAGGCTACCCAAAATTCTAATACCCATGATGGCGGGCAACGCCTCTAGATGGCGCCGCGCCC